CAAAGAATTATATTATTAAATTTAATATATAAAGTAAAAACTATTACTTATAAATGATTATTGAGAGTAATAAAAATTAATAAATTAGATACTTTACTGTATATAACACATAACAATCCTTTAGGAAGATATTTATCAATAGATAGTATATTTGACAAGATTAAAATACAATATTATTGGCCTCAAATGTATGAAAGTATTTGAGAATATATGCAAAAATGTGATTCTTGTCAAAGAAGAAGAAAATACAAATGAACTGAACCTTTACATCCAATGGATATAGGAAATCCATTTTATAGGATAGGTATCAATATTGTAGAACCTTTACCTATCACAGAAAGGAAAATAGATATATCATGATAGCAAGGGATTATATGACTAAATGGCCTAAAGTTAGAGCCTTATCAGAAGCTACTGCAGAACAAATTACTAATTTTATTTATGAAGATATCATATATTCATATAGATATCCACAAAAAATCTTATCTGATAGAGGAACTTATTTTAATAATCAATTGATCACAAGGTTGATGGAAAAGTTTCAAATCAAACATTATTTTTCAATCCCTTATCATCCTCAAACAAATGGTCTTGTGAAATAATTTAATAGAACTTTAAATGAATCCTTGGTAAAATTGATAATACATGATAAGAAGTAAGATCTTTATATACACTAGTATTATTTGCTTATCACACAAGTCAACACTCAACAATAAAAATAGCATCTTTTTATTTATTATATGGATGATCAACAAAGTTACATATTGATGATCCTTTAAATAAGCAACCATATAGTAATGTAAATACTAGAATTAAGAAATTTATAGATGATCTACCAGTTATAAGATCTAAGACTAAATTGCAGATCACAAATAGTCAACAAAAATAGAAAAATCAACATGATAAAAAAATCAAAATAAGATCTTAATTTGAAATAAGAGATAAAGTCTTATACTACAATGCAGCAAATGAAACAAGGAGATCTAAAAAATTAGATTCAAAATAGAAAGGACTTTATTACATCCATGAGATCTTGATAAATAGATCCTATAATTTATGCAAGATAAAAAGATGAGTTTTATATGTACTAGTAAATTCATAATTACTGAAAGCTTATTATGAAGATTAGATTAGTTTTTTTTTATCTATCATTTTATTTTTTTTATATATATACATCTCTTTCAATACATGAAAATGTAAAGTAAGATTTTACAATATTTGAAATTATTAATTTCTGATGACTACGACCTTTATGTGAAGATTTAAAATGAGTTTCTTCTTTTAAAATTCATCTAAAAGCACCCTTTAACAATAATATGACTTTATAACAAAAAGTTCAAAGTACATATCAGGTACTATTAAGAGCATGTAGAATAAGAGATCATATACTTATTCTTGTAAATGCTTACTACCTAGGGCAACTCTTGGAAACTGAATTGACTAATCCTTCTGAAAGAATGATATTACAAAATATGATAACTATCTATTATCAACTAGAAGTTACCAAAATTTATTACTTATTTGAGTTTTTAGAAGTAAAATAAATCTAATGTACTTGAATTATTAATTTTGCAACTATATGATAACTCAAGGCTTTTGAATTCAAAACTTTAGTTAATTATGCTAACTAACTTTCTATCAGAAATGAGGAGGAAACTGATGAATTTCTCTCAGAGTTCAAAAATTAAGAGGGAAGAATTGTTAGCTGTAGTTCATACTGTGCCTTAAATAATCTTCAACTGCATCAAATATTATACATATAATACATGTATCGTTTGATTGACTTTATAATACATGTATCGAATAGTTTACCTTTTAATATAAATATTATATAGTCTACTTTTCATTACTTTTATTATTTTCATTATATATACTTATTAAAAGATGTAGTATAATATTAGTTAATATTTTATATAAATAGACCTATAAGTTGACCTTGAGTCGATAGAGTTTGATTAGATAGTTTTTAAATAAGTCTTGGGACTAGACTTATAACTTTACAATTTAATAAAGTTACTATTTTACACTTTTAACCTTTTTCTTGTCTTTATCATAGGATTGATCATGATAACCTATTATACAAATGAATCGTGATAATAAATTATATTATTTGTTTATTATTAATTTCTCTCAGAAAAGGCCTTTGAGATAATTGTGATATTAAATTTATTAGTTTTGTTAGCTTAATTCAAGATGATTTCTGATCTAATATATTGTTTAACTCATAACTTACTTTTTAAAAAGCTATGAACGTCTTATCTTTATCCTTTACAAACCATTTTTCAATAATTTTAGTTAAAACTCAACAAAATAAATAACGATAATAATGTTATGAAAATATTATTTTTTTTGAAAAAAATCTCTTATACTTCTTCATTAACTCATACATTAACCAAATTTTTTCAAAAATTAAAAGAAATTCCAACTGAGAATATTTATAATAAAAATAATATTATAAAACTAATCTAAGTAAAATCAACTGATTAAAATAATTATTCTTAAAAAAAAAAATTTTTCTTTTGAAAAATCTCTTAAATTTTTAAAAAATTAGTTTTATTTTTTTTGAGTAACAATATATTGATGAATTTAATATAGAAAATTTAAATTTTTTAAATATATTTTAAGATAGTTAAAGATTTAGAAAGAATCTTGAAGGTAGACATCAATTAAAGACTTTTGTTAATATTTAGTTAATTTTAAATTGCATTTTTATAATATTTGAATATTTATAATTATATAGTAGATAATATTAAATAAATATTTTAATAAATTTCTTTTTGGCTAATTTTTATATTATAATTTATTATTATAATTAAAAATGAAAATAACCTTTATATAGTCATTTCACATAATTTTTAATATAATAGTGATTATATAGAAGTTATTTTTTTACCAGTCACACTTATATATAATTACTAATTTTAGTAGAACTAATTAGGTGATTATATTAAGTTCTAACTATAATTATATTTAAATTTATATATATAAATTTTTATATTAAATTATATTTATTTTTATTATTTTTATTATAATTGTTAAAATCTATATTTTACAAATATATGGGTTCTTTGAAATAGAAAGGGAGAAAACTACCAAAAAAAATTTTTTTTGAGTTAATGTTAAATTTGAACTTATTTTATTAAAAAAATAATATTTAGCTTATAAAGCAAAAAAAAAATTTTTTTGGTAGTTTCCTTCCTTTTTATTGTAAAGAGCCTATATTATGTTTTTGAGTTTGATAGCTTTAACAAGAACTGTATTTGTTCTTTTATATTTTTCTTTAATAATTTTTTTTATATTATTTTAATATTATTATTCTTTCTAAAAATAATATAATATAATAACAAAATTAGTATATATACATATAATAAATATATTTTTATACCTAAATTTCTTTTATTAATTTAAGATAATTATTATATAATTTTTGTTATTAAGACTAAAGATGTTTACTTTTATAAAATAATATGAATTTTATTTAACTGTTATAATTTTTAAATACTTGAATTTTGGTATTTAATAATATCTTTAGATTTTAGATCTATAATTTATAATTATACAAGTCAAATAAGATATTTTATAATTTTTTTAATTATAATTTCATAATTTTATTTTATATTATTCCTATTTATAATAATTTAATAATAATTAATTCTATAAATCATTCTTCTATTTTTATTTTTATTAATATTTTTTATTTCTATTTTTAATTTTTATTTTTAATTTTATATTAATTTTTATTTTTATTTTAATTTAATATATTATATTTATTAATTCAAATTCTTTTTCAATATTTAATAATCCTATTTCTAATTTTTTATATTTTCAATTTTTCTGTATTTCATATTTCTATTTTTTTATATTTTATAATTTCATATTTTTATTCTTAAAAATCATTTATTATATTATAATAATATCAATATTTCTTTAGTTACTTTTATTTAAATTTTTATATAATCTTTATACATATTTATAGTTTATTTTTTTTTTTTATTTTAAAGATTTTTTATTTTTTTCTTTAGTAATTTGTTCTTTTATATATCATGATTTATCTATATATTAAGAATATTTGTATTGCTTATAAGGTTGCTAGATAAAACCTAAAGGTTTTGTAAGTTATCTAAATAGAAAAATATAAAATTTAGTAAAATTATATTAAAACTTTATTAAAAAATCTGTGAAATTCTGAAAAAGATAAAACTATATCAAAGCTTATAAAAATATGAAACTATATTAAAACTTTAGTAAAAAATTAGTGAAACTATAATTTAGACATTTTGCTAAATCCAAAATGAGTTTAAATAAGTAACTTTAATTATTTATTATATAATTTGTCTTTGTCTTATATCATTTACTTTATATCTTATAATAGTTGATTATAGTTAATTATTTATCTATTATAACTTTTTATTTAATTAGTTATTTTCTAAATTTTTTAATTTTATAATTTCTTCATAAAGATCTTTTATTAATAAAGTTATATTATATAACATTTTCTAATTTCTTAACTTTATAATACTTATTTCTCAATATATTAATAAATATTTATTATTTTATTATATTAAATTATAATATTATATATAAAATATAAAAAATACTTAATTATAATATAGTAAAAACTTTATTTTTTTATTATATTGTATTATAATTTTAATTTAAAAAAATATTGATTTATAACAAAAATACTATAATTGTTTTTATATTATAAAAAATTTTAGATACAAATATTTTTCTTAGTTGAGCTATTAAGCAAATAATTTTCATAATAATATTGAATTTCTAGATTTGAATAAGATATTTAAATTGGTATGTTTGCATTTATTAGAAAATAATCATTAAGCATTAATCTATTTAATTAATATTATAAATTCATTTATTAATATTTATGATAATTTATTAATATTATAAATTTATTTATTTACACTTTTAATTTACTTATTAATCTATTTTTAACTTATTAACCTGTCTTTATATTGATTAATAATTTTATCAATTATTTTTCAAATATCAAAAACTGATCTACCATTAATATCTATAATTATAGTAAAAGTATATATATTTTTAGTATTTATAATTTTCATATAATAAAAAAAATTAATATAAAAAAAAATTCTATTACAATATTATATATTAACTTTTATGTAATAATAATAAAATTATTTAGTAGAAACTATATAATATTAGAAAGTATAATACAAGTTCATTTATGATGTGAAAAAATATAAGTTTAAGCTATATAAATTTAATTTTTTAGTTTATAACATCTAATTAGATTACTTTTCAAATTTTAATAACAAAAGTTTTATATATAAAAAGTTTTTCATGTAACTATGAAATATTATTTTATTGATGTATTAAAGCTTTATTTTATTATGTATAATTTTTTTGTTTACTAGATTTACAAATTTCTTTTCTTTTCTTTTTCTTTTATTATTTTTAACTAATGTATTATAGTTAAGGTTACCAAACAAAACCTAAAGGTTTAGAAAATTATCTAAATAGAAAAAGGTAAAATTTAGCAAAATTCTAAAAAAGGTAAAGCTATATCAAAGCTTATAAAAATGCAAAACTATATCAAACCTTAGTAAAAATTAGCTAAACTAAGGTTTAAATATTTTGTAAATCCAAAATAAGTTTAGATAAATTACCTAAATTATTGTTTTTACAATATAAAAAATATTCATTATAATTTATATTTATTCATTCTATATCACAATTAAAATAAAGTGTCACTTTATACAAATAATTTTCTCTCTAGCAAAGTTACTGAAGCCTTACACAAATCTGTAAAGATAAGTTGCTAACATTCAAGGTGAAGCTGAAAAGTATAAACAGATAGCATGCCTTATATAATTCACTTAAATAATAGAAAAGGTTGATAGGATTATTACACATTAGAGTAATATTAATTTTAATAATAGAGAAATATCTTTTATAGAAACATTTGTATCATTAAAATCTTGTATATTTTTAGAACTAATAAAGTTATAAAAAGTATCATCATATGTTTATTGAATTTTATCTAAAATTTGTATAAGTTTTTATTATTTTGTAAAGTTAGATTTATAACTCTAATGATACTTTTCCATTTTATTTATTTATACTTTATTTTTTAGTTCAGGCAAGCCTTGTAAGTACTTAAAATTTTTTTTTTACTAATGTTTGTTGAAATGAAATTAATAAAATTTTTAGTCTAATTCTTAGAGTTTCATTTTTTTATTTTCTCTTTTAATAATAGATGGTTTACCAGTTTTAAGAGAAAGAGTTTCATATCCACAATTTTTATAAGCAGAAATTACATCATAAAATGATATTTTAGGATGGTTTAAGGTTTTACTAGTCTTTCTTTTACTAATTCCAAATTTCCAAGCATCAACAACTTCATCACATTCAAAAATGGAAAGTTCTTTTTTTTTAAAAGCCATGTTTAAATAAGAATACTTTTGGTAAATACGTGGCAAAATACTTGAGGTTTAACATACTGTAACAGTCAGGTTTTAAAGTTAAACAAATAAATGATCGACAATCACGTGACTGTTACTTAAATAAACTTTCGTCGTAACAAATTTGATAGACTCGATCAATTTTATAATAATGACGCCATTTTTCAGTCGCGAATTAATTTATTACGAAGTAATGTTGCAATGTCATGTGATTGGTCAAAAGCTGCGGAAAATCTTCTGAAGTGTAACATTTCCTTTGCTTACATAGATTCAGAAATAAAAGTTTCTACTCACGACGTACCGTAGTATGAAGAAGCCTTGACAAAATTAGAAGGTACGATTACGCAAATAAGTTGTGGTATTTCTGTGGAAGAGTATTTACATTGATGTTATCTCTGGGCTTGCAAACTATTTATTTTACGTTCCAGGATTTCTGAATTCCTTATTAGTATCATGAAAGGCAAGCAACATAGTCTTTCGGTGTAATTTTACCGTCTTACTAAGGTAATGTTGTTACTGCATGTCTATAAGTATACAGTAATGACAATCTTATTAAACCGAATAAGTGCTAGTATAGGTAGTTTAAACTTCTACAGGCGAACCATCCTGTAGCAAATCTATGTATCAAACTTCAAGTCGAATCATGTATTTTATTTAATAAAAATTCAAGCCAAAAGGCATACATCGTATCAAGAATGATTTTTTCGTATGCATCGGAATTATTGGTCATGTTCTTTACATGATCCATAATTCGAATCGATTATGCAAGAATTGCCTTACATGATCACAAAATTCCGAATTCGCGCGATGAAATTTAATTCGATAATCATTGTGTGGCGGAATCATTTCTAATTCTTTAGACTTAGCACAGAATCGCCATGCCTTCAAAGTTTCATTTATAAAATGGTTAGGTCAGCTAAACTTGCGTAAAGTCAGCACATGAAGCGAAGCTAAGGATAAAAATTAAATTAATTTAATGTTAGTTCCACATTATCTTATTACATTACATGTTTAATACTTGAGAAAAATTTCCTCAATTAACCACTATCCTTTTTTTGAACACTTCCCGTGGGAAAATAACTTAGTTACGCCGGTGACGGAAGATGAAGTAACTTTTCCGAAACTTCCAGCATTATTATGGTTTTGACAGATCTCGCAAATCCGACTTTAGGTTGAAATTCAGGATGATGAGTCGTTATTCAAAAGGTAAGTATGAAGGATTTATCTAATACTTTCAGCAATTATTTATTTTTATATAGGCAATGTATGGAATGTCAATTGATACTTACGTGATGATTCCTATGAACGTTAATTTCGACTTTTGGATGTAGGTTATATAATAAGGTAATATGTTATTATTCGTTCATTGATTTCGTACATAAATGCCAATCAAACTTGTTTTTCTGAACATTCCACTTCGATCATCACGGGTATATGGCAAGACAAAATATAAAGCGGAAATGTACTTTCCCAGCTGCGTGAGATGGCACAACTGTTAAATTATCCACATCACAAAAATATTTCTCATCCTTTTCCGCAAACATCGGTTCACATGTGAAGGGGCCATTGATCCAGATCTTCGTGATGCGATACCCCCGAATCCAAGATCATGCGGAACTACATTTGTAATCCACTTTAAAACTTATTCCGACCCCCAAAATAACATATCAGTAAGAATTACCTAACCCAGATCATAAATTTCCAACCTATCTGACTGCAAAGTATTGCAGTGAAGGTAAAAACCTTGATGCACCCAAATTTCCAATTAAAAAAAAGAAAGCGTAGCCGTATGCATCGATTATTTGACTGGTAATGAAGTCGGAGCATACAGCTCGTTCAGTCCTGATAATCATCCTGTTGCTACATATCACATGATTGATTCGGCAAACAAGCTATTCGATTATTGGAAGACGCACCATCGAGGGTTCCATGATTCCATTAATGAACTAAGTACTAAAACCGCTAATCTAATAGATTTGAAACCACCAACGCCTAAAAGTAACTTGCTCAAAAATCTTGTTCCTATGGTTGCTGGCATATTTCCTTTAGCTGTTCCTATTACAGTGGGACCTTTAGTTAACGTAGTAGATGAGAGCGCGGAATCATCCTTTACCAAAATTTCCGAACTTGCTGCCCAATTTGGTGCTGCAGATGATGTTATAGCATCAGCTAATGGATCTGCCAAACATGTAGCGGTGATATGGTCATCTTTAGCGATTACAAGTGAGATCGCTAAAAATGCAGATAGCATTGCTAAGGGATGCGATCAAACATTGAGCTGCTTATACTTATATACTCAAAAGTCTACAATAGAGTATATCGCAGAATTCTATGCAAAATCAGAAAATCCAATCTTGGTCAAATCCTTGCTGCTTTGAATAAGCTTGACGACGGAAACACGAAGAGGGATACGGTGGATAATTTAGGATTTTTTACGACGAACTTGATGAATTTAATCTTTCTTCCAAGTTTAATGGACAGTGTTCATCAATCAATTACCGGAAATGGTACAAACTATACAGATATTCCATCATACCTATCAGCCGCAAGTAAAAGTCTCCAATTTCATTTGAAAATACATTACACAATAATTTTTTTACTTGAAACAAGTCATTATTAGATAGTTTTACTGTCAATCAAGTAGTGAATCATGATCAAATACTTACTTATATAAGAATATTAAAAAACGGTACATATGACAATATGGCGGCATCAATAATAAGCGCTGATATTGAAATATGTGACCCAAAACCTTCATTTTGCGGAAAACCTTGTAATGATGATCTTTGGCACTATTTATTGTCCAACAATCGGAAATGAAACTAATAGCCGTGTAACAACTACCACAGATAGCCAAATAAAGGAATTTAACTTGCTTCGAGATACCTCTGATATATGATCAAAAGATATTAGTACTGGTTGGAATATAACTCGTAATCCCAGTTGTTTTGGTAAATAATTCGAATGAAGACATTCAGACAAACGTGAATGAAATTTTTAGTGTCGATTATATTTATTAATTTTCACGTATTATTAGAAGAATGTTGTTACAAGCTTTAAATTATAGATATTAATATATGATATACAATTAAAAGAAATTCATTTTTTTTTATATTTATTATTCTCCCTTTATCTTACTTATTATAATAAAGAAATGTTTTCGAAATGATATATCAATAAATAAATGAATTTAATTTCGCAAAATCAATTACAGAAATAGACTTGAAACTTAATTTTTCCATAGTTTCTCGAGATAGTTGTTTTATCTACCAAAGTGATATGAAAACTTCACTGATTAAATACGGACACATTTTACATTTTACAGAAAAATGTAAGGAATACTTATCATCATTTTTACATAAGCGGGCATATATTCAGCCAAGTTCATCTCGAAATTCGTTGGAAGAAGCTTCATCATTGAACATTTTTTGCGGTTATTTATCGTAATAATATTTCTCAATATAAAATGTATTTTTAAATATTAATTGGCCAAGTAATCAAAGAGTTTGATAACCGGAAGAAGCTTACAAATTTACAGAATTTATTCAAAAATTATCTTTCGTTTTATGAGACGTCTATTAAAAAAAAATTCAAAAAAATTTTCTTATGAATAAATCAGTTCTTTTCGTCGATGATGTATTTTCTGTTGGATTGAATTGATAACGGTGTGTTGTATTTTTGTTAATTATTTACTGAAAAAAGAATTGTTTGTAGTTTTATGTTATGTTAATCTAGGGATGTTAAAATACAGTCCGGTCCTAGTCCGGTCCCGAAACTCCCAGTCCTAAAGAAGACCCGGTCCATAGGACTTGGGTCCTAGGACTGGATTCTAGGACCAGGTCCCGAGACTGCAGTCCTAGGACCGCGGTCTTATAGAAATTAGGAATTCAACTAGAACGATACTAGAAAGATAAAAATCGTTCTTCTTGAATGATGAAAAATCGCTCAGTAAAGAATCGTTCGACTTGAACGATAAAAAAATTGTTCAAGAAGTATGATAAGGAATCGTTCGACTAAAACCATACTTCATCGTTCAAAAAGAACGATGCTTGCTTTGTCGTTCAAGTCGAACGATTTTTCACCGTTCTAATTAAACGATGCATCATCGTTCATAAAGAACAGTCTACTATCGTTTAACTAGAATCTTTATGGTCTATAATGTTTTAGTAGACCGAATTTTATATAATATTAAGACCGTAGTTCTTGGACCGAAGTACCGCAGTCCTATAGTTCAAAGGATTGTTTAGGACCTGATCACATGGGACTTTTAACATCCCTATATAAAGCCATTGAGAAATCACATGGAGCTCCGAACTTATGAATCTTAAATCTATTAAAAAAATAAGTAATTTTAGTAATATTATTTTTTATTCTAAATAAATAAATATACAGTATATATATATAGAATAGATAAATTCCTATCGTTTCCATCTCGAATCCACAACCAAATTTTAAATGCTCCAATACTTACTAAGTTGAGTAAATCTATCAATTATTCTCTCTGATAAATCCAAGAATAACAACAAAGAGGTAATATTTTATTATAAATAAAAATTATTTCCAGACCTATAAATGATAAAATAGTTTTAGTACTTTTTTATTTCTAAAAAAAAATGATTCTATACAAATAATAAAGAGATAATTTTTTTTTTTTTTTTTTTAAAAAAAAAGACACTCTGGTACTTACAAAGGGTTGAATATATTTAGCTAGAAATTTATTTTAAAATAAAATATAAATATAAATGGACGATTTAATAACAAATGACAAAAAAAATTCATTAATGCCTTGATCAAAGTTGAAGGATTACGAAACCTGTAAATAGATAAGTAAATTTTAGTTTTTTTTTTTTTTTTACAATTAAAATACAGTATAATACTAATTTTTGATTTAAACGACTTCGAATCTACCTCTTTAGCAGGAAAAAATCGAAAGAACATGGAATAAGTTGATTTCGATATATTCTCCAATTCTTTGATAAACA